TTCTGATTTATAGTATTTTTTATAAATACACTTCATGAAATGGTTGCTTGCTCTTGATCGGAGGCGCTCCCGCGTAAGATAATAAAAAAAAAAAAAAAAAAAAAAAAAAAAAAAAAAAAAAAAAACTTCTACATTAAGTAACGAAAATCAACGAAGGACTACACATACAACTGATTATTTTCTCTAATTCAAATTATTTTCTCACCAGTGAAAAATTTTTTGGATTGTGTATACTGAGGTCACTCATTTTGGTGATAATCACGTCTGTCTGGTTTGATGATTACAAATGTTTATAACAGCACCTGATGAAAGCAGGTTTAGCAAGAAAAGATTCAAAGGTTTATTACTGTTTTGTTTCTAGATATCCCTCATGGTCTTGGCACTGTGACCTATGGATATATATGGGCCTTAAGCATGTCTACAAACGTACTTCAATCTAACAAGATGTGATCCTGATCACGTGATGCTAGCCATGTTAGATAGCACGTGTGTGTAAATTTGACATTTTTTGCGTTTTTCTTTAATTTGTTATATTCCCATTCATTCACTTTCCATCTATTAACCATCTCCCCTTTTGCCGAATTTTGCGCTTTATATCTGGTAACTCTCTCTCTCTCTCTCTCTCTTGTCATCGCAAATTGAATCAATCTATAGTATATGAGTGTGAAAACGCTTTATTGAATCATCTGTAAAGCTTGGTTTATTAGTTGTGACATTGAAGGCTGCTAGAGCATGCATGGTCACTGGTATAATGACCTCATCCTCGTACCATGTTATCAATAAAACACAACCATGTAGCCAGGTTTGTGAAAAAGGCGACAACTGATGTTTACAAGCTTGTATGGTTTTGAAAGCAGCTGACTTAAATAACACAACGTTATCACGATGGAATTTTGGTCACTGATGATAAGCGATCGAACACAATTCGGACTAAGAGTGGCCGGTCTCGGTGCAAAGAACTGAGGCCATTACTCTGATGGTTGGTCATCAAGGAGTATATGATTAGTATCAAATACCGCCAGCTGGTCACAAACGTTCACAGAAAGTAAAATAAGGCAATATATATGTCAGGCATTGAGAAAAAAAAACAAAAAAACTAACCAAACCCTTAAATACCCATAAATACAAAACCAACCAGCCTTCCAACTACATCTTGCCAGCCAACTGGCAACCAACTTGTTGCTGCACTGGCTATAAATGCATTGAAGTCGCACGCAATAACCAACAACATACGCTTTTGTATGGGATCGCTAATGACACACAATAATGTCTAGCATTGAAAAATGGTTATCATAGCGCATTAGATCCTGAGATCGTTAAAATAACCGTTATGAGATTTCTCTGTATTCATAAATTATCTAGTTTGCGTTCTTTTTCTATTTTCTTGGTCTCTTTCTTCGCGCCCACACTTTTCTTCCCTGCTTTCTTCTCAAAATCTCCATTCTTTAGCGATGACAACTCGCTTGTTTTGTAACCACAGCCCTTTGATGGAGGAACAACTTCGCATTTTACCCGTCCTTCGAATAATCTCTCGAATTTGCTTGTTAGAACTGTGTAATAATTTCGCTCACTGAAGTGAAGATCTCGTAGACCAAATGTAAAGATGACTGTTGTACCGAGTGCTACTATGGTGATGAGACGTAGAGAGGCAGTAGGACCAATCAATGCAAAGAGACTGGTGCCAATCAAAAGGTGGAAACCATTTCCGAGTCCCCAGTAAGCACTTTGAAAGCATCCTACGATATAAAAAAATATTCCCAAGGATAAAGTTAATATCGTGAGAAGGGATGGATGAAGAGGTAAACAGACGATGGAGCGAAGTGTCAAGTTTGCTTCCATATCAGGTCAGGTGTCCAGGAATAATTGAATAAAGGAAGCAAGGAAACAAGGAAGCAAGGAAGCAAGGAAGCAAGGAAGCAAGGAAGCAAGGAA